AGATGGAATAACATATTTTAAGTGTCTCTTTTGTCTTGCCTTAGACGTGACTGCATGCAACCATGATATCTGTTCCTATTGTAACCTTCATGAGGCAACAAGCCTATGGATGAAAAGCTGACATGTCAAGGGAGGGAAATACTTGGATAGTCTTGACACTGTGTGGTCGGTGGACCCCACTTAAAACAAGCTGCCTTCAGGCTTCTTGCTCTGTGAGCTAAATGGGTGTCCTCTGCCATTGTTTATCATACCTGTGTTCCAAGCATCATGCTCAGTGTTTCACACATGCTGTGAGCATTTACCCTCACTTCTCAACCTGATGAGGGACTTAACCTGATCAACTTAGAAGATGGGCACCTTCCGCTCAGGCCCTTCTTTTGCTCTTTGCAATGATCTTGCCTTAAAGAGATGAACTCGGTTTAGCTCTCCAGGCTGTGGCGAAGGTCGATGGAGCAGATTGTCCTTGTGGAGAACGTCTATGCCACCAATGACCTCCATAACTTCTGAAGGCAGGATGTCTGCGATGCCTCTAGAAGATAAATTACTCCGGTCCCTACCCCCTGTGACGCAGTGACCTGTTGCTGCCATAACAACGTGATACGATATGGCTGACCTTTAAGGCAGATTATCCTCACAGGTTGGTCTAATCTCTGAGCCATCAAAAGCAGAGTGCTCTCTCCCGGCTGGGCCAGGGTCAAAGTCAGAGAGATGCAAATTGTGAGTAGCTTCTAGCACATCCTTGGTTTTGAAGCATGTAGGTGAAACTGAGGAAATTGTTCCTACTTGAAAACCAGCAAGGAAATGGGGCTCTCCATCCTACAACCACAGGGAACTGTGTTTCTAGCCGTTTCCTCAGACAGAAACATTGCCTTGCAGAGGAAGCGGAGAGGATCACAAAACTGCCAGTATGTGTGAGGACATGCTGAGGTTTCATAAGCAGAAAGCAACTGCTGGGACAGAGACTCTTCAGGAGTCCAGCTACCCAAAAGCTGTGCGGGGAGCTCCACGGTGAGGCTTGGGTCCTCGCCCTTCATAGAATAAGGGTTTTGGTCATGGAGCTTCCTGAGTCATTCTTGTTCTGTAAGTATCCCCTCACACAATCCTAGTGAGCAACCCCAAAAAACGCATCCGTTCACACTTAGGCAAAGATGGAATGATTGCTTTGGTTTGTCCTTGCTCGCTCTATCCACAGTAAATAGAAAGAGTACCCACCCCAGAAATAGTTACCTGGTAACTACTATTTGGGGTTTGGGGGTTTTGATTTTGTTTTCTTTTTCCCCCTAAATGTGAACTTGTTTGGAAGCTTGTTCTTCCTCAGACCTGGATCCTCGTCTTGCCAACACCTTGGCTTTGGCTTTGGATGACACTCAGGATATCTCATCACTTGAGCCCTCCAAGCCTATGACCTCTGGAGCAATGACAGAAAAAAAGGGTGCTGTTTCCGATGCTGTACTGTGGTGTGTCTGTGGTGGTGTGTTATGCCTCAGCGGAAGACTAATAAGCCCTTTTCAGCAGCATAGCTAAGGCTGCATCCCCTAGTCAGCTGGTCAGCAGCAGCACTAACCCTCTGACCCCTACCTAGCTCCTGTAGTTCTCAGTTGACTCAATCCCCACAGGAGGAGATGTCTTTACTTATCCAAGCATTAACAGCCTGGCTTTTATTGCTGTTTTGCAGCCCAAGCTCATTCCTAAGCAGCACGGTGTTCCTCAGCAATTCTACCAAATGAGTCTCCAACCAGGGTATGGCTCAAGAAAGAATCGCCGCAGAATACGCGCACATAGAAGGCTCACTGCCTGCTTTGTTTTTATTGTGCACACACACATATACACACGCATGCCCACACACAAATGCACCTCTTCCCTAGAGCTGAAAGACATCAGATGGAGAAAAAGGGTTAATAACCAGTGTGCAGACCTTTTTTTTTTTAATTAAATGAAATTTCCCCATGACAACTGAAAATCCACGCCCCAAGCCTTGCTGGTTAGTACAATCACCTTTTCTCAAATAATCATCAGGGAATAACTGATCCTTTAAATGTCTGTGTGAATAGCCAAGGATGGATACGAAGGCTCTTTGTCTTTCCTACCACAACTTTACATGCTGCAAGAAATGTGCTGCACAACCAGTTGTTTGTTTCTTGGAGAAGTGTGCTGACATTCCTCTTGGAATTCCACCCCTCATAGCCCTTCGAGACTTGGCAAATGCATCCCCCGTGCGTCGCCTGTTCACTAAGCCGTATCTGTCTCACCTTCCTGTCTTCGGTGATGCTGCAAGAACCTGGGCCGTCAGCATGAAAGTGAAGTGTGGGGATGTTCAGGCTCAGCCCCAGAGTATACTGACCGGCCTTCTGGAAGCAGCTCAAAGGAGGAGCGTAGCATGCTCCACTTGTAGTCTGAACTGCACTACAGGAGAGTGAAAGCCCAATTTGGTAAGCGTGAAGTAAAATGATTGCAACCGGAATATAGTAACTGACTCCGGGGATTTGAAGACAATCTGCAGCCTAATGCTTTCTTCTGTGACCAAGAAAACTGAAACCAAGAGGAGCTTCAAAAAAGGGTGGGGGAGGTGGACAAATAAGTCATTTCTCCATGGGAACACTCTAAGAACACTCCTGTTTCTTCTCAGTGTTCAATCACCACATCGTTTTTTTTTCTCCCCTAACTCAAAGGGCTGTGAGGATGGCTAAGAAGCTCCTCCGAGGAGTTCAAAACAGCTCTTTGGAGACAAAGCTGCTGTGTCTGAGTTAAGAAGACCAAAACATCTAAGAAGCAGAGTGCCATGGTTTCCATGGTGACCACTGAGGAGACAGGTGCACATTCGAATGAGGCCAGCACCCAGGGAGCAAAGGCTGTGGGACATTCCAGGAAAACTCGCACGTGTACAAAACCCGAGTTAGTGGCTGGCCTGCCAACAAACTCTTCTTTCAGGAGGGACAGTAGCTCTGAGCTACTTTCTGACCCTTGTCCAAGTTCTTGCTACCCATTATTCCATTTAGCCATCACTAAAACATTCTAAAATTGATTTGCACTCTGTCGCCTTTGCTGATGAAGAAACGGAGGCAGCTTCCCAGGACTGCTGAATTTATGAACATGATTGTGACCCAGAAATGCATCTTATTCTTCTCATCTGCTAATAAACCTCTTACATTGGCCCTCTGAGGAACTCCCCTGCATCCGCTAAAGAAAAGCAGAAGCCAGGATCCGAGGGACAATCCGAGGGATCTTACCTCTGAGGACATGGGGTGCACTGATTTTAGAGCTCACCACTCACCCAGCATTACAGATTATGAAAAAATAAAAGTTCTCAAAATGGGATTTTGAAAAATTATACCGGCAGAGGATGGGGAGATGGCTCATTCCGTAAAGTGGTTGGCACACAAGTGTGAGAAACTGAGTTCTATTGCCAGCACCAATGTAGAAATCTGACAGAACAGTACCCATATATAACCCCAGGACTGAGGAGGCAGAGACAAGATGGTTCCTGAAACTTACTGGCTGACTTACCCAATGAAAATCTGTGAGCTCTGGGTTCAGTGAGAGACATTGACTCAAACAAATAAGGTGTATGTGGTGGGGATCAATCGCAGTCAACACCTGACACTGACATCTGGCCTCTACATATACATATGTACACACACACACACACACACACACACACAGTTACCATAAGAAAGAATTCCCTGAAGAAGGACAGAAAGACTTGAGAATTACATCAATACTGAGTAAGAACATAGAAATGCCTACAATAACAATGAGTTCTGTGAAATTAAATGAATAGGCATGAGTTAAAGAGCATTGGCAATCTTAGACACTCACACCCATCCTACATGCCTGCCACAGAGGTCAAACATATCACCTGTAGGAAATAAACTCCTCAGGCTGAGACTTCTGCCCCTTGTTTAACAGTAGATGTTTGGGGTAGAAGCTTCACACCTCATCATAGACTATTGGAGTCCTGAGCTGAGGGATGCTCAGCACTGAGAGGCAGAACAAAGAGGACCCATGAAGAGAGAGATACAAAGCACAGAAAAGAGGACAGAGAAGAATCCAGGATCATCCTGGAGACATTGTGCAGAAATCAAACAAGTGAAGACATTCTGATAATGGAATAGGTGGGTGTATATGTCTCTACGTCATTTTAAAAACAGGAAACTATCTTCCATCTTTCTTATTTGGAGTGTGTGTGTGTGTGTGTGTGTGTGTGTGTGTGTGTGTGTGTGTGTTTATAATAGCTCACAGGTGGAGGTCAAAAGATAATTTGTAAGAATCAGTTCTCTTCTTCTACCATGTGGGTCCTGGAGAATGTACTGGGGTTGGCAGGGAGGTGCCCTCATCCACTCAACCGTCTAGCCTGCTTACCATCTTCCATAAAGGGCTCTAAGCTATACTTTAATTGTGACGAGTGCTGGCTAATGTGATCATATTAAAATCCAGAGCTTTTAAAGGGGCTAAGTCATGAGGCTCCTCATTCACCAATACAGTTAAAGCCCTTAAAAAAATAAATGGCACTATGCAATGTCAAGCCCGTTTTCCTTTGCATCCATCCACAACATGCTGTCTTAGCACATTCTCTCTGGAAATCACATTAACAATACCACCTTGAAAGAGGGCACAGCCCCTCACCAAGCACCTGAACCTTGATCCTATACATCAAGGCTCCATCCGGTGGGAAATAAGTTTATATGCCATTCCGCTTCGGACATTTCATTACAGCAGCATAAACAGACTAAGATATTCAGTGTGCCTCCTCTCTTCAGGAAATCTGTGTTGGTAATCCATACTTAACCTTCTTTGATCCTGTAAGCACCACTATAAGGCAGGAAGTTATTCAATAAAAAGACATTAGGCACAATTCTCTGTCTACATCCGCCAGAAGAGAAAACACAGTCATAGCATTCAACTATTTCATTCGGACAGAAACTTTGCTCTTGCCTTCTAAACCCTATTAGGCTAAACACAGTGACTCCAGTAATGAGGGTTTAAATTGGTGCAGTACTCACTCGAAAAACCTTTTCCACTCTTGCAATGCTTTTGCCAAAGATGGTTCCAAGTTGGTCTCCAATTCCAGCCAATAAGAAACCAAAAAGCGGGATCCCAAAGATGGCATATAAAATACAAAAGATTTTGCCTCCTTCAGTGCTTGGAGCAATATTCCCATACCCTAGGGAGAGAGAAAGCAGAAAGAGAGAGAGGGAAAGCAGTGAGGTGGCAGAGAAAGCAGGGAGGCGGTAGAGCATTGACCAAAGAATCCACAGACTTCCGTGTTCTCCAGAGCCCTTTACAATTCAAAACAGTGTTCCTTGCTTCTCTCCATATAAATAGTCTCAGTGTTTCAGGGATCTTAATGCATTTTTTTAAGAAATGTGTGGTCCACCAGAATTGTGTTACTTATGAAAAATGATACTTTTCTCTTAAGAAACATCATACATCATGGACACAATTGAATGGCGCAAAAAAGTTTCACCTTTGCCTCTGTAGACAAAAGCCTCCCCAAAAAGTATCTGTCCCACAGGCATCCTCTTGGCCTGGACTTGCTATAGTCAACATCTGTATTCATAAAGTAATAGGTGCTGAATATTAAGGAGGAAACTAATCTCGTACAAACTCAGAAGGAACAAAGGACTTGCCCTTCCCTGTCCCGGTTAGGGAAGCCTGGTAATAGGGAAAATTCGTGAGCAAAGACTGTACCTCTTTACCCCAATGATGGTGAAATCTAGCTGTGCCCAACTCTCCTTACTGGGAATGGCACACAATCCCTGAATCTTGTATCTCTACCTATTACCCCTGTACCCAGAACAATCAGTGCTAAATAAATGTTTGTTAATGGAATAGATATTTGAACACAAAAGATTCCATCTACAGGATGGTCAAATTAAAATGAGTTTCACATAGTTGCACTCTTAAGAATTTTGCAATTTCTTAAGTAATTCTTAAATAATGAGTATTGGGTTTATTCTATGTAAATGGGGCTGGCAATAGTGTTACTGGAAGAAAGAAGCCTATAATATTAGCATAATTCCCATTGGGTGAAACCCACAAGTAATTGATACTTGTTTTCTTGTCAATTATCATTACAGTCTTACAACAATCACTTAACATTTTCCCCAGTTCATGTAGTTCAAGTCAGTCTGTTTCTGAATCCATGCAATGGGAGAGGTGTTTGTCTACAGCAAGAGACACATTTGAGAACACGGCCCCGAAAAAGAACAATGTTCTCAGCATGGCCACAAAAGAAAAACATGTTCTTGGACATCACTCATGCTCCCTTGGGCCTGGAGAGCTCGCTGTTAGATTCTGCCCTGGGGATGAGTCGCTTGGCTATTTTCCTTAACAATTTTATGTTCAGAATCATTCAAACCTCTTACCACAAATTACTTAAATTGCAGTTTCCATTTCTTAGATGAGTGTGCAAGTAAGACTTCCTAATCTTATTTTCTTTTGCTCCCTATCATGTTGATTTAAGAGTGCAACAAAGCTCCTGAGACTTTTTTTTCAAATGCTTTCAGGATCTTGCACAAAATGATGTTGCCAAGCATACCCACGTAGAATAATCTGATCTACACCGACTTCTCCGGTTAGAAAAAAGGCAAGCATGCCTCTGCAGCTCCGCATTACGGGGGCAAGTCTCAGCAACAGTCTAGAAACTTGCAGAGACACTAATAACTTTAGCCAGCGTGTCTCACAACAGCCTCATTTCAGAAAATACGTCTCTTCTGCTAGTCCACCTCAGAAAGATGTCGCAGACGTGGGCAAGCTGTACACTGAGCCCACTGAGTGAGTACGCACTTATTAACCCAGACAAGTTCTACACACGTCCTCCAGCATGCTCACAGGGCATGCTGAAGTCACCCCAAAAGCACCACCGAAACGCAAGGAGGTTCTGTATCACCGCATAAGACCCCACTGTCCTCAGACCCAAGTAATCTTTCCAAATCTTATGGTACTGGAGACATTCAAGAAAAAAAAAATGTGAATGAAAATGTATTCAGTGGTAGCTGGAGTAGATTAATTGACATTTCACAGATCAGAATACCCCAGTAAAATAAAACTGAAGTTCTCTAGTAAGGTGGTCAATAAGGCAATATTCAAATATGTCGTGTGTGTGTGTATGTAGATATGTATGTATACATTTGACATAGTGTGTGTGTGTGTGCGCGCGCACGTATGAGCTATAGGGCATGCCTTGAGCTGTTCTAGATCAATAACTTAAGTGGATCCATGATGGCTGTATAGTAAACATGGAGGCCCTTGGGCAGCCAAACACCACTGAGGCTGAGAAGTGGAAGAGACAGCTCACCTGCTACAGTTGCAACTGCTCAAAAAGAACTTGACTATCAGATACAGGAAAAGCAAAGGGAGCCCAGAAGTCCCTCTACCAGTCAGCTGCTGCTGACTCTCAGCAACGTACAACGAGCCCAGCAAGGACACTGAGAAAGAAAGAGGACTTTCTTTTTCTTTTTTTTTTTTTTTGCATTTTTTGTTAATTATTATTATTTTTACAGTTTATTAATTTTGTATTCTGGCTGTGGCTCCCCTCCCTTGTCTCCTCCCAATACCACCTCCCCTCCTTCTTCTCCCCCCAGGGGGAGGTGATCAGAGAGCCTGCCACTGAGTTCATGACAGAGACAGCCCCCTTACTAGGGACCCCACATGAAGACTGAGTTTATGGGTTATATCTAAGCAGGGGTTTTAGGTCCTCTTCATGCATGCTCTTTGGTTAGTGTATCAGTCTCTACAGGGCCCCCAGGGCCCAGGATTTTTGGCTTTCTTGCTCTCGTGCTCTCATTTTCCAGCTCTTGTCCCCTCCAGGTCTTTCTGTCTCCCCCTTCTTTCATAAAATTCCATGCACTCTGTCCAAAGTTTGGCTATGAGTCTCAGCCTCTGCTTTGATGCCACAATTAGTGGACTCCTTCCGAGGCTGTCTGTGGTAGGTTCCTGTCCAGTTCCCTGTTTTCTCCTGCTTCTAATGTCTACTGCATTTGCCCTTCTGAATGAGAGTTAAGCATCTTCCTTAGGGTCTTCCTTGTTGTTTAGCTTCTTTAAGAGTATAGATTTTAGTATGTTTATCCTATATTATATGGCTAATAAACACTTATGAGTGAGAATATTCCATGTGTCTTTCTACTTCTGGGATATCTCACTCAAGATGATCTTTCCTAGTTCCCACCATTTGCCTGCAAATTTTATGATTTTCTTTTTTTTAGTTGTTTTTTAGTAGTATTCCATTGTATAAATGTACCACAATTTCTATTTCTATATCCATTCCTCCATTGAGGGACATCTTAGTTGTTTCCAGATTCTGGCTATTATGAATAGAGCTACTACAAACGAACAAATGTCCTTGCTGTATAGTTGAGCATATTTTGAATACATGCCTAGGAGTGGTATAGCTGCATCATGAGGTAGCACTATTCCTAATTTTCTAAGAACATGCCAGATTGCTTTCCAAAGTGGTTGTTCAAATTTACATTCCCACCAGCAATGAAGGAGGATTCCCCTTTTCCACATCCTCTCCAGCATGTATTGTCACTTCAGTTTTTTATCTTGGCCGTTCTGGTGGGTGTAAGGTGAAATCTCAGGGTTGTTTTGACTTGTATCTCTCTGATGACTAAGGACGTTGAACATTGTTTTAAGTGTTTTTCTGCCATTCAATATTCCTCTATTGATAATTCTCTGTTTATCTCTGTAACCCATTTTTAAATTGGATTACTTGGGTTGTTGGTGTTTAACTTCTTAAGCTCTTTATATATTCTAGATATTAGTCCTCTGTCAGATATAGGGTTGGTGACGATCCTTTCCCAATCTGTAGGCTGTCTTGATTCAACTTTGGTCATAGATCGGTAGGAAAATGACCTTCCTACCAAAAGCAATCTAGACAGTCAATGCAATTGCCATCCAAATACCAACACAATTCTTTACAGAACTTGAAAGAACAATTCTCAATTTCATATGAAAAAAAACAGAATTGCTAAAAACAATCCTGTACAATAAGACATCTTCTGGAGGTATCTCCATATCTGATCTCAAGCTGTACTATAGAGCAACAATAATAAAAATGGCATGGTACTAGCATAGAAACAGACTGATGGATCAATGAAATTGAATAGAAGACCCAGAAATAAACTCACATACCTACAGACACTTAATTTTTTTTACAGAGAACCTGAAACAATTCAATGGAATAAAGACAGCATCTTCAACAAATGGTGCTGGTCTAACTAGATGTCTACATGTAGAAAAATGCAAATAGATCCATATTTGTCACCCTGCACAAAACTAAAGTCCAATTGAATCAAAGACCTTAACATAAAACCAGACACACTAAACATGTTAGAAGAAAAAGTAGGGTAGAGCCTGGAATAAAGAGATTATTACAAAAGAAGACCAGATAGCTCTTGGCTCTGTTTGCCCCTAAGAAGAAAATATCTCAGAGTCCTTGAAGAGAAAGCTAGTGTTTAAAAAGACTAAGTCCTGAGACACAAAGAAGTATCCACATGCTTCTCGTGTGCCCAAGTCAAACCTTTGCCAAACTGTGTCTTTCAAGCCCAGTTGATAAAGGGTATGCATTGTGGAACCAACCTGTCTGTGTTTGCAAGGATGTTGTGTGAACACATGAACTGTGAAAGTCACACAGGAACTCACACTCAGAAAGGGCTTGTATAGAGAAAAAGTCCTGTGGACACAGATAAGCACTAGAGAATCCAGGACAATTTAAACACACAACTCATCACTTCAGTGAAACGAGGTGCTTAGCTGTTCCTCTTGGAATGCTGGAAATGGATGCCGTTTGCAACCTGGTGAGCCTTTGCTGTCTGATGAGCCAGGCTCTGCCCATTTCTCCCACAGTTTATGCTTTGCTTATCCCAAACCTTCCTTCCCCCCCTCCCCAAATCTTGAGCATTACTTCTAGGACATAAAACTCATCCTTATGAGTGATGTCACTTGTACTTTATAACTAAGTAACTTCTGTGTTATCTTAGGACTGGAAGAATGCTGACACTCACAGGCATTATATTTACCTCAGTCACTCTCCCTAAACCCTAAATCTTGGGTACTATCTCTGAGTCAACAGCACCTGTCTTGTACCCAAAATGCCCGACAGTTCTGTCCTTGGTTAAATGTTCTGACACTTCCATGTTGGCATTCTTAATTACCTTTTTA